TATATATACATATGCATAATTGTACACGCACGCACGCACGCACGCACGCACATACATAAGAATCAAACACGCAAACAAGTCTAATTTTGCATTTATCTTTCTATCCGGACTCAGTCAGAGGTCATAGCGCATAAATAACTCCGACCAGTCAAAGGGTTAATTATCGCGGGGTTGGCTGCAACTTAATGCTTATAGTTTAATGTCCGTCCATCAACGTGGAAGGTCGCAATCGCCTTGAGGGCACGTAACTTTACGACGCGACCCGCATTAATAATCACTTTCCCCTCAATCTTCTCTGCCTCTGCTTCTCTCTAGGCTACGTTCGGAAACATCACCCGAGTGCTCCCATGTGTCGTTTTATCCTTATTATTCATCCAATGTTAAACAAGGATAAGATGATACACGGGGACATCTGAGTGATGTTTCGAACGCAGTCTATATGTAAAATGGCTGATCTCACTCTGCTCTTTTCTTATCTGTTGCAGCATTTTCCACAGCCACCGAGGATGTGGGGGATGAACCCCAAGGGCACGAGAATGATACCGGTGAGTGATTTATGATTTCTTTCTAAGGACCGTGTTCTTTAATTTCTTTTTTCTTTTTTATGCAGATTTAACGCGTTTGAACTTTCCATCCATTTTTAAACGTTAATTTTCTATGTCAATGTCGCATTGATATTTTCCGCGGATTGCGAATCGATCAGTATTGTATAATTTCTCAAGTGATCATCCGATACTAGATTTATACGGTATTTGCCATTCTTTATTTCAATCACAAAAATGCAAAAAGGAAAAAAAGATGAAAGAAGACAAAAGAATTAAGAAGGATATTAAAACCATTAGAACTGAGAATTTGTGAGGAGACATTTTATCAGCCATGTTTGTCAGGATTTGGTCCAAGGTCGACTGGTCCAGTTTTCGAGTGAGTGGTGAAATTGATGCTAAAATATTAACGTGCGTAATTTACCAATTGATGTACTCTCGATCGGTCGGGTTCGCAATCTGTTCGTCAATTAAATCGCAATTAGTTATTAATTTATCGCGCTAGTGCGGCTTATTGTTAATAATTTGATTAACTTAGTCAAATATTAGTTGATACACGACTGTTAAGAACAAGTTTGATAAAAGTTGTTGCACAGCGCGACATGTGCCTCGGGCAATTTTTATCGTTATAACCCGCGAGAGTTGTCAGTAATTAATTAATGCTCAGAACGAATTTCTTTCGCAAATATGTACGAACGCGAGACGTTCCGAACTCACGTAATAAAGATAGATCGGTCTTAAGTGTAGTTTGTATTGCTTTACAACATATCAGCTGTCATAATAATGGCAGATACCTGTATACCTATGCAGATGTATATCAAGATTTTATCACTTAATGGAGTAAGTCACATCAAATTCACATAGGAACTGATTTCTCAGATCATCAAATAAAGAAAAGTTTATATTTTGATAGATATGTGGACGATGTTATATAAAAATGACTTAATCTATCAAACGAATCACATCGAATCTTTAATTTCCATAAAAGAGGAATAACACGGAATAATTTTGTATGCACACGCGCATGTGTGTATGAACTAATCCTAAATTAATAACTTTTTTATAAAAATTAACATAATGTACAAGCATGCGCGTGGCGCGAAGGTTGTATGTATAATTAATTTTCGTGTTTTCTATACTTATCTTTGGATTATCACCCGCAGTAGACTTACGACATCAGAAATGAATAAATAAATACGGCAAAACGTTTAACTTATGTCCATACAAATGACTTTTAACGAAACCGCTTTATTGCGGATAAAACAAGAAATATGCTTTAAATTGTATCATGTTTGACACATCTGAAATGATTTTCAGAATTAAATTTTTGATTAAAAATTTATTAGACGAAAAAACTTTGCAATTGTATTTAATCAATGACTTGTATTTCATCGTTTTATATGTTAAATTAATAACAGAGTTTAATGACACTTTTTATAAATTAGTCTATGTCAACTTGAAATGAATCATCAAGAATTAATAATCATGATTCGAATTACAAAAGTTGTCCAAATCAATATTCTGCAGCATTTATGTATAATTGTGTTTTAAATAATTGCCATTTTTTTTGGTCCCACTAAGATTATAATTTTATAATTATTATATGCAATGAACTTAAAGTGACAGAATTATAGTTTATGATAATTTTATGTGAAATTGTAATATAAAAAACATTCAAGTTGTCAAAAAAGTTTTGAATTATACATAGAATTTTTCGATTTTTATACACAGAAATGGTTTTTACATACAAATTATTTTAAATAAAATAACAATTATTCTTCGAAGTTAAGACTGTTATGTTTAAAAACCATTTGCTACCAAATCTGCTAGTTGTCAGATTTAGTTTCGGTACCATTAGTCTTGTAGAAGGGTCGAGATACTATCACACTCGGTACAGATTCTGATTATATTATCCATCGTTTAATTATAGTCTATTTCTTTCAATGAAACATTTCTTGTGAAGACGATAATTCGAAACTGTTGAATAAATTCAAGTAACTTGTCATGAATTTTTTGCATGTATAAAGAATCGAAATGATATCGTGGCCAAATTTAGCAACTAGCAGAATAGTGATGAATGAATGATGATTATTGAACATGATAGTTTCTCTTTATTTTGAATTTTTGAGGAATGATATTGCTGTTTCTGAATAAATCTGTAAAAACTGTTTCTATAAAAAATATATTTCTATGAAAAATTCGATAAAAACCAAAGGGTTAGAACTTTTTTGACAAACTAGTACATATCGGAACACACACACACACACATCAAATTAATCAATCAAATTGGTTTATTATAAAATAATGAACAAATTTTTTTTTATATTTTGAAACAAATTTTAATATTAATCAGTTTTATTCAAATTGTTTGAAATTATTTCTTTATTGTAATTGTAATACATCTAAAATTAAATCTTTATTTTTGAAAGATTTTCATACATGCATTGCTATGCGTTAATACAGTCAAATGTGCACATTTGAAAAAAGCACGATTTGATTGGGATAATCTCTAACCAAGACATGAAATAGCTACTTTTGATTGGTGTTTTAAGAACTCTTGAAAAATAAAAAGATAGAGACAGAGAGAGAGAGAGAGAGAGAGAGAGAAAGAGAGAGAGAGAGAGAAGCAAAAGGTACAACGGAAATAGAAAGAGAAAGAAATAGTATGTCCTTCTATCTCGTGTAATTTTGTTAAAATTACTAGAGACCATATTAGGTGCATTCCGTTTTACACTCGTACGAAGCATCAGTTCATTTTTATTCTCTATCAAATATATTAAACAAGGACGAATGATGCTTACGAGCGCTATAAACGCAAAACGGAATGTTCTCATAAAACATAGCTTGTATCTAGACTCTGATTAGAATTAAGGAAGAATTTCTAAAATAATCATAGAGATACGTGTTTGACGTGCATAAGCGTTAGTACGCGGCAACACACGCATGGAAGGAATTGTTTTCAATTTTTGATAACAAAAGTATCACGTCACGTTTTACACGCTTCATATAGAATTAAAGTTCTAGATATTACAATAATAACATAATTTTTATTTGAGCAAATAGCTGCGTTCAGCAAAAAAATTGCAGCAACTTTTTAATATAATTCTTGTCTTTAATTTTTTACTGAATTTAAGTATAGGAAAATTTAAAGAATCACTGATTACTGCTCACTGATCAGTTTTTTCTTGAACGCAGCCAACGTGTTTTCTTATTAGTTATTTCCTCTTCTTGAACGTCATGTTTTACCGAATTAATCTGTCGTTCAACGAGTATTCAGAATTATTAATTGTTTAACATGATCTTTTAATATAATTGATTTTTATATTCATTATTAAATATAATACGATATAAATATATAACGAAAAACTAAAACAGCTAAGAATCAAGATTGGGTAAAAATTGGCATCATTTGCAGTATTCTCGTAATATCTATAGAGTTGTAATGAAATTTATACATCCTTTAATCAGAGACTTGCCATAAGAAAGTGTCATCCATTTTCTAACAAAATTCTGCGAATAAGGAAAAATATATGCTATCTCATTCTCTAGTGTTGCGAGAAAGAAAAAGATATATGCTCTTTCGCTTTAACAGAAATTGCAAAAAATGTCAAATCAAAAGTGGTCTCTCTTATGGTCTGCATTCTCTGATTAGAGGGTCTTTCATAAAATTTAGAGAGTATTGTATTTATTTTTTTGCAAAATCTTGCGAGTAAGAAAAAATTTGTGTTGTGTTTCCTGACTAACACGAATTGGTAGAAAATGATGAACCAATCAAAAGGAATACTTTGATGTTCAATCTCTGATTATAGGACAGCATTCTTATTTTAAGATCGTCTTAATAAAGTAATGTCTTAAGATACTACACAGCTCTCTGATAGCATCTTAAAACTGTATTTAAAATGTTGTCTTAAATATAAAAACCAACTATGAATGTTTATTTTAATATAAAATTTAAAATCACTAGATATATTTATAAAGTACCGTAAATTCACCATTTTGATACCAAGCGACTATTTTGAATTAATGTATTTGTATAAACGTATTTTTTGTGAGAAAATAGAACCGTAAATTGTATTAAATAAATTTTTTTTATTTGTAATTAGTTTATTTATAAAGAAATATATATATGCTTAATTTATGTATTCTTTAATATGATGAGTTCATAGAGTTTATTTGGATTTATTTGTCGTTGAAATTTTAGTGCATAAATGTGTATGAAGTACATAAATCTGAGTCTCTATTCTTGAAAAATATCCTATATAAAACTAGGGAAATATATACGTAACGTATGCGATATTTTTCAAGAATAAGGACTCTGTTTTTTTTTTCATAACTCAAACTGACTTTTGGCATGGTTCATTTTCGGTCTTTTTTTTTTTTCTAATAATAATGACAAGGAAAAGAAGAAAGATAAACTGTGCAAGAAATTCAGTCCTAGGATATGGAAAAAAAACAAACCTCATGCAGGTAGAGTTCAGAAGGTGAAAGTGTACATCAGCACATGCGTAATCACTGAAAAAGAAAATTAATTTTTAGAAAAAAATGTTTTGTTCGGCAAAAAATGCTTAAAAAATTTTGAACAGATAGCTGCATCTAATATGTAAATAAAATAGTACACTATGTGCCCTATCCGCCATTTTGGCACTTAATGCTAAAAAAGTAGATATACCTTGCATGGTACTTTATAAATCTAGTCACTTAATAAAATTACAATCTGAACGACCTCTAGCGACATCCAAGTATTAACTTCTTCTGGCGTATACTGTAGATAAAATAGGAAACACTTTATTCTTTAATCGATAACGTATTCTTACTGAATTATCGACTTACCATGCCCGCTGTTGATCATATCTATTCTATGTCCGGTAATTGTCAAATATATTATCTCTCTCGGCTTACTTAATGGATATCAATTTCGATGGACAATTATTATTATTGTTTGTAACGCAGTGTAGATCATTACCACAGAACAATTTGTTAAGAGGATTTTAAAACGAAGCTTGAACTTCAATGAAGTCACCAGAGGTCACTTCATTGCGCCGTGTGCACATTGACATGCTTTATATACTACCACATCAATATCTCACGCAGTCGCACATTCGTGTGTCAATTTTAGTATAACAAATTCGTCGCGATGAAGCGTCTAAGTTAATTCTAAGAACCCAACGTTATTTGTTTGTGCAAACTACGTGTTTGTGAATTATTATTTCGTAAATACAGATTGCAAAACTTTCGTATCAAGCAAATATCACGACTTGACAGCTTGAGACGCCATGTTACACTAAGAAATGGTAAAAAAGATATCAATTTCGAAATTTTTAATCTTTCCCGGCAATAAACTTCCCCTCACAAATACGTATTAATGTAAATATAAATTATATATACTTTAATCTTGGAAAAAAATTGTCTAATCTGTGAAAGAGAAAAATTGTATTTGTTATACAAAAATTATATAATTTAGTCGATAACACAGACGGCTTTAAGATCCCCTTAACTTAGCAAACAAGAGAAAAAAGAAATATATTTTACACATAGTAAATACATACATACATACATTCAATTTTTATATTACTAATCTTTATATTACTTTATTAAATTAATAAAAATTATGATTATTTATTGGTATTAATGTTAAAAGGATTCTGACACGGCCGAGCTTGATCGATAAAAATTCTTAATTCCAAATAAAACATAATAATGAGGAATACGAAGGCTATTAGGAGTCAGCACAGAAAACGGAGTGCAATAAAAGTAATACAAAGTAATACAAATAATTTATTAAATCATAAATATCAATATAAAGATGATCTGTACGTTTTGGTTTTAATTTGAACCATATTCAACAATGAGCTTACAATTAATAAAATAATATAAATTAGCCACATCTTGATAATAAAAAAAAACATCCTTATACATGCAGTATTTAATCGCATCAAAAAAACGAGATGATCAATTATCCGAAAGTGTTATTTCTCATGTAGTTAACTGGCTACTGTATCATTATAATTTCAAAAATAATACAAATATATATATATATATATATTTTTGAAACTTGATAAAAAATATTGTATGAAACAAAAATACAATAAATAAATACAATAAATGATAATATTAAATAATATTAAATAATAAATAATAATATTAAATACAATAAATAATATATATTAAATAATTGTGTAACAACAGTGAATTATGATATAATATTTTACCTTGAATAACGTCGGTAATGTAATTTTAAAGCCTTATAACTCAAAAAGTACTTAATTAAAAAATGTTTCAGTATAATGTTTTGAAAAGCTCTCGAGGTAAGCTACGAGAATGTGTAATGAAAATTAGGGAGGGTACGTTCTATTTAAAACATTCAAAGTAACCTTGATCTGATCTTGGCGATGCCATCCAAAGTCAAACCAATGATACCATCTTATGTATCCTCCGAAATTAAACAACTTTTGTAACTTTTGAAATTTGTTCTATAAAATGCTTTGTTTCTGAGATATATATTTGTCACACTTTAACTGACTCATCCTGTATATAAATATACAGAGTGTTTAATAAATTACGATAAAACTCTCGCATAAGGGTACAGCGGATTAAACTGAATGAGTCTAAAAGTTCTCTACTCATTTTGCAATTTTTGCAGTTAATAAGATATCAATTGCTAAATATCACCGATTGATTTTCAATAATTTTTTACTTAAGTACTATCAACTTTATAGAAAAACAGCAATGGACAAAAATTATTTATGTTCTTTTCATATAGAGTTTTAAAAATTTTTTCAGAATTTTTTAATCAACTTTTTTGTACTATATTTTCTTATTGACAATTATTTTTACCAACATGAGGAAATGCGGTACTAAAAAATTCTCAGAATTCTATGAGAAAAAAATTAACAATTTTTACTTACTGTTTTTCTGTAAAGTTGATAGTACTTGAGTAAAAAATTATTAAAAACCAATATATTTGGCCATTTTTAGTAATATCTTGTTAACTATCGCGAAAATTGCAAAATGATAGAGAATTTTTTGACAATCAGTTTAGCCTGCTTTATCTGTGCATGAAATATTTGGTGATCATTCTGGGACATTCTGTAGATGATGTAAAAGCGAAAAAGCCAAAAATCACTGAGTCAATAGTGTCACTTGGCCATACGAATTAATACGTTCTAATACGATTGTAAATAATTTTGACACATATGATTTAAAAAAAAAACATAATACATCTCTCATAATTAGTTTGCCAAACATTTCCAATTATTTAAATTCATACGTCCTATGCAAGTAATATAATATTCATTAGAAATTCATCAGAAATTCTCTTTAAATTTTTCTTTTTCTTTCAAAGAGGAAATAACTCTTATTTATTTTTACAAAGTATTCCATTTTAGTGAAAACAATAAAATAAAAAAAAAGGTCTGCGATTGCAATACTGTTATGTATAAAGCACAAAGTAACATTATAGATAGAACGTGAAATAAGATACGATATGCTGTGCCCTATATAAATTAAACTTCTTTAACCCAGAAATCACCTAGATATTTTTATACGTAAACGATTATTTGAAGTGTTTTTATATCTTAAAAGATTCTTCGAAGTGTTTTTATACCAATTAAAAGTCACTACTTATTAGTTACTGTATATTATTGATTATATTATTGATTTTTCTACAATTATTAGTTTTTGACATTATTATATGTGTATCTGAATCAAAAATGTACGTAAGTACAAGAAACAATTTATTAAAAGTTGTTCAATGAACAATTTTAATCTCATGATTTAGGTTTTATAAAAGAATGAATAATATGAATTATAAAACTATTATTAAAATTTATTGTAACAATAAATATGCACATTGAATAATTAAATATTACCCTAACGTTCTCCTTTAAAACATTTTCTTTAATACATATAATAATAATAATTCAATATTATTGAGCAGAAATAAGTACAGATTTTATTAAACAATGCATTAATATGATGAATGCATTTTATCACTTCTATAAAATTTTATGATACACATCTAATGAACGAGTTTATTTGAATCTATGAACATATTCATTGGAAGAACGAATTTCTTCGGTGTATATAAATATTTATTCAATATTTTTAAAAAATAAGGCGGAATAAAAAATAAATATAGGCTCTCAATCAATAAAAAAACTGTGACTTTATTATCTTGCTGATGGGGCATAAAAATCATCTCAAGTAATTACTTATTACGGGTTTAAGCAAAAATTACGTTGAGCTGAGATATTGCTATCGGAAATGACAAACAAGAAACAATTATGCTTCCTTGAAAGAAATCTTTGCTTTTAAGGAATGGAATGTTTCATATTATTATGTTTTAACTGATTCCAGCAAATACCAAGTCAAATGTGACGTATACGTGTTAATTGTAATTTTTTACTCAACAATATAACTATAATATAACATATGCGTTATATTATGTTACGTGTAACTTGTTTACTGGAATAGGATAATCGGACGGATATGACAATCAGACAAAAGTAGATGTAAAACAAAAATTCTTTTAGAATTTTAATAGCACTATTATTATGAACAATCTATTTTTTGTTTGAAAAAGAACTCAGGAAACAGGTAAGAGATTTTATTTTGAAATAAATTGAAAATGATTTAATGAGATTAAATTTTAGATAATTTTATGAGATTAATTAAATTTTGAAAAAAAAACTGTTAACACACACACACACACAAATTTTCGAATAGAATTTGGCAGTAAAAAATTGAAGTAAAGTAAGATTTTAATGCAATGAAAAATTGCAGTAATGATATTCGCACATCCTTAACCAGGACTACAGTATGTCGAGCATTCGTTCTATTAATGGGAACTGCCTCCTGCGGTTCAATTGTCGCTTAACCTCCACTCTTGATGAGACGAGACGAAAACAATAAATGCCAGCTGCGCTTCCCGGGTGCCACGTGATAGTCATACTGATGTTCTCTGATAGTTGAGAGAACCACTTTTCAACGTCACCTTCGCGGATTCAAATTGTTATTCACACAATTGTTTTAGCACTTGTCTCAAATTATCGTGTTATAAGTTTATCAAATTCTATGATGTAATCTACACAGTTGCGTTTCTATAATAAGATATTTTCCAGCAAGGATACACATTGAATCATTATATCTTTGCTGTTTGTTGACATTAAACTAGACTGAAATAATTTACTGTGTTATACTGTGCCCTTATTGCTGGAAAACGCTCATGATATTCCTTCAGAAAATAAAAGAAATGACTAATTTAATTTTTATTGAAAAACGCACGTTATACAGAAAAATTATTATGAAGTTTGAGTATGATAATATTATATTGAATATAATAATATTATATTATATGAAATATAATATATCATTAATATATGTATATAAATATATATATATATATATATATATATATATATACATACATAAGATAATCCAACAACGCAGTCTAAAATTGTGATATAAGACGTCTTTAAGTCGTCATTTAGACGCATAAAACGTCTTGTGATCCGATATTAGACACTTTTATTGTCTTCTTTTTGCCACTTTTGTACTCAAGAGAACGGAACTCCTGAATCTCGGAAAATATAAGTTTTTATAGTAAAGTGTTTCAAACAAAAATTATAGAATTTAAAAAGATCTTTTTACTGATTTATCAGTTTAACTTAAGTGACGTCGCCAAGGTTAGGTCAAGGTCAAATTAATTTTTTTTAATGGAAAGCATTTTTTAATGGAAGTCCATTTTCATTACACATTCTTATATAATTTATCACGAGAACTTTTCAAAACACCATAACAAAATATTTTTCTATTACTTTTTGAATTATAAAGCTTGAAAGTTACAATACCGATGGCATTACTAAGTGAGAAATGACAAGAAATCGATATCGAATCGACTCATTTCTCACGGGT